CCCTGTCATCAGCCTACTCTGCTCTGATTGGTCAGCTGGCCAAGCCTGTTGTGATTGGCACAGAGAGAAGTCCTTGAGCAAGTTAGCAAGTGCTACCATTGACAAAGCACCTTTACATAAAACAATAATATAGTGCTCCAATCCTTTCTTAAAATAATGACATAAAATACAAAAACACTTATGCAAGCAAATCGGGTCCACAGCTAAAGTTTAGCTGCTAAACTGTAAACACTTAAAACAATAATGGTGGGTACGTTAGCCGAGTACTAACGTGACTAACTGATGAAACAATACAGTTTGTAAACCAAAATATGACTACTGTAATGTTTGAAGAACGACAGACAAAAGACACTCTGTCTTAACTTTTAGAACACAGAACAGCTGTATCACAGGCGCACCAGCCTAACTAACTCGCTCATCTCTCCCGCATTAACCCTATAACTGCTGGTGCAGCAAAATAAATGTCAGTTTTACAATGATTATAAAGTCTGTGCGCTACACTACATTCTTTATTATTAAACAAAGTAATTATTTGAACAACGTCAGTCTACATTAATCGACACATTCTTTGGAAAATAATTTCAGTGAGACAGTAATATCGTGCTTTACCTGAAAACCTAAAGCTATACATAAAGGTATACATCACATATTAGCAAAAAAACTTGATATTTTGAGCACTCAATTGAAAATGTACACATGACGTATCAATCATACTTACAGGTTGTGGTTCGGAGAGCTTGTTAGTCCAAACAAAGAAGATTAGAAGCCGACGAAGATAAAAGCCAAGATTAGAGAAGCAGTACTTGGTAAAATGACGAGCACACAACAAAAGGTTCAAATTGTATTTCTGTGGTATCCGTGAACACAGCGTCTTCTCGACATGATGTAAACACACTAACTAGCGGAAGTGTTTGTGGGCAGGTCAGACTCGCGGGCAGGTGGGGATTATGCAAATGTGTTACCCAGTGACTGTTTTCATTTAAGGATAGCTAGCTACGTTATAAACTGCAAAAGAGATATTTTTCAAAAACCCATATGACCTGCTCTTTAAATAGCCTATCAGTTTTAATGAACAATAATAGGCATTATACAAGTATAAATATAAAGTATAAGAGACATATGTAATAGGAAATAAAGACAAAAGCAAACAATTCAGTCAAACGTATGCTACAAAGTCAGCACTGTACTACGATTAAATAAAATAAATATATAAATATGAAACATAACTTTGTGATTAGCCAAAACGATACTATGATCTGGAACAAATAATAGATTAATGAGACCAAAGGTTACCTGTTAGATAGACTCAAAATGAATTTTATTTCATGTTTAACCACTACAGAGACATCAGAGCCAGTGGCAAATGTCAGAAGGACTTGCCGAGGTAGGCTGCTCTCCGTAGGATACATGAGAACTGAGCGCCTGCTGATCTCCTGGAGCACACATCTCCGAAATCAGCGAAGCACATTTTTAAATAGGCGCTATCTTTATAAATAAACCGCAGATTTAAGTTTTAAACAACTACATTCTCGACTGAAATACTCTTA